GCCGGATCATTGTTGCATATTTATTATAGTCTAGCTCTCTTATATTTGTCCTTTTCTTACTTTGGACCTTGATTACTTTGTTGCTGTTCGAACTTCACCACAACATTCATTGAAAAATCTAGTTGAACACATCATGTCAATTCTGAACTTAGGGTTACAAAATGTTAGGTTAATGTGAACTAAATAGATGATCGGTCAGAAAAATTAATCAGCTTAGCTAACACAATGAATGAAATCTGTAAAATTGCTAAAGAATATCCTAATTTGAAGAATAATCTTATTAAAAGCCTTTAAGCATCAATTTGTTTGGTTAATGATGTATTCAGCCATCAGTCTCTAAAGGGTGAATTATTCAAAACATTTGAAGCTATATCAGAAATAGAAATAGAAAGATTCTGAAAAACAATTTTAATTGTGAATGATAATGTTACTCATAAAGATCGTATAGCAGCAAATATAAAACAAAGGGTAAGTAATAATTGAATAAATTACTATATATATAAATAAAAATAAAATAATAATATACAATTCTTTAAAGCTGCGTCTACAAGAATTCTTTGACTATTGTTGTACTGCAAGACATTGCTTCTTTTTAATCAAGAAATATGGTAAATCATCTTGTACTATTTGTTATTCTTCCCATTGTTTGCTAGAAGATTGTCTTCCAGATCCTATACCTGAAGATGATTTATACTATAAGTTATTTGAAGAATTGTATGGTATACGAACAACAGAAAATTATAGATCTTCTTTTGTAAATTCTAAGAAAAAAATAAATTATAGTAAAATGAAAACAAAACATACCATGCCATTTTGTCCATCTGCTACATGTGCAAAAATGTTTGTATTACTGTAAGTTGCATTGAATATGACAAGCTATGTCTTTTATTCAGCGCAAAGAAGCTTTCTGAAAATGATTTTAAATTATTTTAAAGATTCTTGAATACAATTTTTTATACTTGCAGCATGTCATTTCATGGTATATCTGACTTATCAATAACTATGCTATCTAAACAGCCTGACCTACATGATAATTTAGATGATGATTTAGAGAATAATACTGATTCAGATAAAGAAGCTAATGATCAAGAAAGTACAAATAAAGAGGATGAAAAGGATGAAAGTAAATAATCTGAAATTGAAGATTTAGATAATAAGGACAATTCAGATAGAGATATAGACAATTTTAATAGTAATGCAGAAGATTCTATTAGTGAACTTTTTTCAAGAGTTTTTGTTAATAGCTTATTGTTCTGTGTATCAAAAATTAAAAAGCTATATTATTCAGCCAAAATCTATCCAAACGTCTGTATCTACCACTTATATAATAAATATTAGTATACCTTGTATTATTTGTCTTAGTATACCTTATATTATTTGTTTAATTTTTAATGAAGTATATCTTCTTTTATACTTAACTACTATAAATTACCACATACAAGACCCAGACCCTTACATTTTACTAATCTTAAAATCTATAATGATAATATACGCCAGGTCTAGTATATGTCTGAAAGTTTATATTTTAAAAGTCTATATAGCGCTAAATATTAAAAAAAAACTGGTTTGCGATTGTAGGGTAATAATATTATCAATATACCAGTAATATCGGCTTTAATCAAACAACTGATTCTTTACCCAGTATGCAACATATAAAAAATTATTTTATAATACCAGATCATTCTACTAGTATGCTGCATACTGAGTAAAGGATCAGTTGTATAACATCAATGATTTCTTCTTTGCTTTGATCACATGATTACACATCGAGCATTTC